AACATAATTGGGAATAGGTACAGCAGGCATACCTTGTTTTAAGCATTTTATACATATTAACTTACTTAATCCTCTTTTGATACTATGTGCTAGGTGTCATTACTATCTACATTTTACAGAGGAAACAGAGGCTTGGAGGCGTTAAATAACCTGCCTAAGGTCATACAGCTACTAAGTGGCAACGAGAATTTGAATCCAAATAACCCAGCATTGCCACTCTGCCCAATTGTTCCTCACCCAAAGGCTGATTGACAATTTTTATTTATTTATTTGAGACAGAGTCTCACTTTATTGCTCTCGGAAGAGTGCCATGGCATCATAACTCACAGCAACCTCCAACTCTTGGGCTTAGGTGATCCTCTTGCCTCAGCCCCCTGAGTAACTGGGACTACAGGCACCTACCACAGCGCCCAGCTATTTTTTGTTGGATTTTGGCCGGGGCCAGGTTTGAAACTGCCACCCTTGGTATATGGGGCTGGCACCCTGCCCACTGAACCACAGGCACCGTCCCCTATTTATATTTTCATTTTTTGAGAGAGTCTCACTCTGTCACCCTGGGTAGAGTGCTGCGGTGTCATTCTAACTCACAGCAACCTCAGTCTCTTGGGGTAAAGGGATCCTCCTGCCTCGTCTCTTGAATATCTGGGAGTGCAAGGTGCCTGCCATGATGCCTAGCTACCGCTAGTTTTTCTGTTATTAGTATTAGTATTTAGTTTTTCTATTTTTAGTAGAGACGGGGTCTCATTTTTGTTTAGGCTGGTCTTGAACTTGTGAGCACAGTGAAAGCAATCCACCCACTTAGCCTCCCAGAGAGCTAAGATTACAGGCGTGAGCTACCACTCCTGGACTATGTCTTTTTTTTTTTTTTAAGAAACAAAGTCTCATCTCACCCAAGCTGGAGTGTAGCAGCATGATCATAGTTTACTGTACCTTGAACTCCTAGGCTCAAGGGATCCTCTTGAGTAGTTTAGGACTGCAGGAACATGCCAATACCATGCATGGCTACTTTTATTTATTTATTTTTGTAGAGACAAGGTATGGCTGTGTTGCCTAGGCTGGTCTCAAACTCTTGGCCTCAAGTAATCCTCCTGCCTCCGCCTCCTAAAGGGGTGGGATTACAGGCATGAGCCATCTTGCCTGACCAACATTTCCTAAGTTGAAACAAGATGGCCACCTGCATATCTTGTAGGGGTTCTTTTGCGGTTGGGCATACTCATCCCCAGACAGCATCTCTCTGACATTCCCTTTTTTCCCCTGCCCTGGTAGATGAGGTCCACATCCTCCAAAACTATATCAAGACCCAACTGAACAAAGAGCTGGGGCAGCTCCAAGAACTGGTAGAGGAGAGGCTCAAGGCCAGTGAGGAAAGACTCAACAGCAAATTGACTGCACTAGAGCGGCCCTTCCAGCTACCTCCAGGCAAAAGCAAGAACAAGACTAAGTGATCCTCAGCATTTTCTCCAATAAAGGCCTAGGCCAGAACGGCCCAATCCCTGTCACCAATCCTGAGTACCTTCAGAGATCCCTGACCTAGCCAGACACCAGACACAAGCACCCACTCTCACTGGTGTGCAGATTTATTTCATATGCAGCACAGATAGCACTGACAGGACCAGGCATGGCATTTGGAGTGGCTCCCTTCCACCCCAGTTCTGACCTCAAAGCCCTAGCCACCATGGGGAGGAGTAGAGGGCTGGTCTGTATAATAGTAGCATGATCAGTGGTAGGCCTGGGCAGGCAGAGGCACCTAAGGCCGGAGTCCAGAGAGGCTGGAATGATCAAAATCCTTCTGAAGAGTCCTGCTTTTTGGGATTCCCCAGGGGCTGGGGTTCTAGCCCAGCACCACTGCAGCTTCGTCCTCAGGTACAGTAGTTGAGTCCCCCTCTTCTTCAGGGCCCATTATGGGAAAAGGCCCAGGGGGCCGGTGCTGAAAGAGGGCTGCTCGGTTCTGCTGCTCGCCTTTCTTCACCCAGTGTCCATAGAGCCGGAAGGCACAGTTGTCGATGAGGCGTCGCACTGACCGCAGTGCGTAAGGATCCCTCAACAGTGCACTCTTGGTCAGTGGACGTACACGATGGGTGCTTAAGGCCACTCGTCCAGCAGCCAGCACTGTCCACACTGCAACCTGAGGAGGGGGATAATGTGTGCTCCAGTGGAGCATCCAGCACAAGGGACAGAGGCACAGACCCAGACTCTGACACTATCAGGCTTACCCGGAACCGCTGGCGGGGGGTTAGGTTCCAGGGTTGGCTGCCTTCACAACGCTCAAAGAAGGGATGCTGTAAGGCCTGTTCAGCTGTCAGGCGTTCCTCAGGATCAACCTGCAGCAGCCTGGAGATCTAGGGGAAACCCCAGAGCATTAGGGGCAAGTCTTGGGCCTTCCCAATTGTCCTCTCACAGCCCCAGCTCACCAGGTCTTTGACAGTGTTTGAACGGTCGTCCCACTCGGGTGAACTAAACTGGTACTGGCCCTCCATGATCATACGTAACATCAGGATCTGGCGCCGGTGCCAGAAGGGTGGTGAGCCAGCCAGGAGTGTGAACAAGATCACCCCACAGGCCCAGCTGTGAAAGAGATCAGAGTCAGGCAAGACTAGACGATGGACACACACAGTGAAAGACAGTAAACACAGAAGGCAAGGGGACCAGAAACTCACAGGTCGACCTCCTTGCCATAGCCTGGGTGGGTTTCATCCATCGAGCATTTAAGGATCTCTGGTGCCAGATACCCTGGGGTCCCACACAACTCTGGAGAGAGAGGGCTGAGATTGAAGGCATACCCCCCAGCTTTCTCCAGGGCCCTTAGCACCTGATTTCTGCTGGAGCTGCCTCAATATTGCCAGGGCCACCAGTGTTGCCACTCTGCTCCTACTTGCCTTCTGTCAATTCTGTCAGGACTAGACACTATCCCCACTGAACAACTCAAATACCCACCAAGGCTCCTGGTGGCTTTCTTAGGAAAACCTGGTTTTTTTTGGACTGAATTATCACTTGCCTCCTCCAACCCTCCAGCCAAGCCAGGCTACCCACTACTCACAACATGTTACCTCATTTTTATATCCAAAATACATATAGAAAACAAAATTTAAAACTTTCCTGCATTCCCCTTTGCCCAAACTTATTCCTTCTCTTTCATCTCCACTCTGGTTAGTGGAACCACCATTCAACCCAAGGGGAACAGTGGAAAAATATAGGATTTCTTACAGCACCTACTGGGAAATCCCTTCCCTGATTCCCCATCATGGCATCAGGATCAAGTCTAGATTCCTCAGCAGAAAGCACTCAGTAACAGTCATTTACTCTCAGTAACATGATGCAAGTCTGTATTTAATACTTCCTTTTGCCATATTGAGCACCAATTCTTCCATCCCAGTAGTTTCCAAACTGTGTTTTATGGCACACTTCAGGAGATTTTATTAGTCCTAAATTGAAACTGACTCTTGGAAAATTTATTTCTACAACATGTATTGAATGTCAACCACCATATTAGACACAGTGATGAATCAGATGTGCTCTTACTGAGTTCACTGTCTACCAGAAAGCAAACAAGAAATAATAGAGTAAAACGTATCATGAAGGAAGAATATATATGTGTAAGAACAAAAAACAGGGAGATCTTACCTGTCCTAGAGATTTCAAGTAAAACCTGAACTACCTAAGCCAAGGGAGAGGACAGAACTGGGCAGGGACAAAGATGATTCCAGAAAGGGGAGAAACAGATACTCAAAAAGAAATAAAGTATAACATCCACAAGATATGTAAGTCCACAGGTTAAGAACAGGAGCTTTGGAGTCAGACTGCCCACCTTCAAATGGCTGGTAATATGACCTCAGATACGTAATCTCATATCTTTAAACTCATCTGTAAAAAGGAGACACAAATACTGTCTATCTCATAGGATTGTTGAGAGGACTTAGAGAAATAAGCCATGTAAGGACTGTGTGGTACCTTCCTCATAGTAAGTGACCAGTGAATGTTAGCTATTAAGTCTACTGCAAATCCACTGAGGGAGAGATGGAAGCATATTAAAAGATCTGAGGAGTCCCACAGTTAAGCTTTATTTAAAGTTTCCCATTTGCACTAGAAATATTTCTGTCACAACAAAGGTATTAACGTTGAGTGAGCCTGAGTCCCAGGGCCCCAGGTGAGAAGTGCTATATGGACACATCAGGCTCTTCACAGCACCTAAGAAGCACATTGTGGTCCTGCCTCCTCCATCCCCTAGATATGATGCTGAGCCTGCCATCCCCTGCTCCCTCTCTCTCCTCCTGGGACAAGGCCCAGTCCTAGAGGCCCTGCTCCTCCACAGGTCTCCCAAGTTGCAACAGAACATCTTCTTGGCCTCCCTGGTGTGCCCTCTGCCCACTGTGTATCATTGTCTGCTCACTTGTCTGTCTCCTCCCCATGTCAGAAAGCCCACTCTTTGAGTTCTACACAAGGCTTTGCACCCAGAGGGTACTTGGCAAGTGCTCACTGACTTCTTTCCTTTCCTTGGTACCTGGGACTCAGTACTCAAGACCAAGCCAAACACCCTCATCACACTTGGGTCTCCTTTCCACCCAAGTGTGGTAGGACACCAGATCCCCTCACCTCGAAGCTTCTCGCCAGGTTCCAAGTGGCAGGAGAACCCAAAATCTGAAAGTCGGATCTGCATACTGTCATCTAGGAGAATATTCTCAGGCTTCAAGTCTCGGTGCACAATGTTGTTGGCATGGAGAAAGCTCACAGCTTCCAGCAGAGACCTCATAATGGACCTGGGAGAGGTGCAGTCTCCTCCTCTGCTCCTCCCTGCTCCACCCCACTCCCTGCTCACCCAGGAGCTGCAGGCTCAGCCATTACCTGGTTTCCTTTTCTGAGAGGGCCACCTTCTCTGTCAGATAGTCAAACAGCTCTCCCTTCCGCATCCTAAGGAATAGGAGGGGCATAGGAGGTAGATGCACCCAACACCAAGGGTGGAGAAAATAAACTAGTGCTTACATAAAATACCATGGAAGAGGCCAGTGAAAAGAGATTCCTCTGTGACTGAAGACAAGGGACTCTAAGAATAAATCAGATGTCTGGGGAAGTTTGGCCTAGAGGTCTGGCAGTTGAAATCTCTGTATTGTGCCATGTTGGAGCAATTTTAGCAAGAATGACTTTTTTTTTTTTTTTGAGACAGAGTCTCAAACTATTACCCTGGGTCACAGCTCATGGCAACCCCAAACTCTTAGGCATAAGCAAGTCTCTTGCCTCAGCATCCCAAGTGGCTGGGACTACAGGTGGTCCACTGGCTATTTTTTTTGTTGCAGTGGTCATTGTTGTTTTTAGCTAGTCCAGGATAGGTTTGAACCCACCAGCCTCGGCGTATGTGGCCAATGCCCTACCTGCTAGCTATGGGTGCCGCCTTTTTTTTTTTTTTTTTTTTAAAGAGATTGGGGGTCTCATTCTGGTCATCTAGGCTGGAGTTTAGTGGTATGATCGCTGCTCATTGCATCACTGCAACCTTGAATTCTACGACTCAAGCAATCCTCCCACCTCAGTTTTCTGTGTAGTGGGATTATAGGCGCAAGCCACCATGCCTGGTGGTGATTTCTTTTTTTTTTTTTTGAGACAGAGCCT